CCCCACGGCTGAAAGGGCGAGCATGTTTGGTGGGATGCGGATTCGAACCCACGACCCTCAGATTGTGAGTCGAGCGCCTTATCCACCTGGCCATGCCGGGCACGACCAAAGGGAAGTCTCCCAAGTTGTCTTCTCCATGGGAAGGACCATATGACATAGTGGATCGTCTCTCAGACGTGACTTTCCGAATAAAATGTGGTCGGCGAGGTAAGCCGAAGGTGGCGCATGCCAACAGGCTTTGGCATTATCACAATCCAGGTCATTTCAGTTGGAACGAAATGAACAACAAAACAAATGACGCTGCTGAAGATGTGTCACCTGAAAGAGCCACTGTCGAAGAAGAAACTTTACCCAGTTTGAGAGGGAAAACATTGAAGCCGTTAATGAAGTTACTACCACTGATGTGACTGCTACCGATAATGGGGCATTTCCTGATGGAGTAGATGAATCCCACGTGAAGCAGAAGCCAATGAGACCAGTATGAAAGAAGAAACGTCCGGTAAAATTAAGAGACTTTGTTGTATTTTAATTTTGTGTATGTAAATTCTGTGCTTTTAATTAAGTTATTGTTAGTTATCTATTGGTTTAATGTAAGTGGCTGTTGTTCGTCCCGAACAATACTAAGGAAGGGGCAGTGTTACGACAGCGGACATCGCGTGACGCTGGGAGTATGCGCGATGGAGTTTCTCGAATTATCGGGGAGCCCCACGTATGTCCGAATTTTTGCTAGACGCCCTCTTTTTTATAATATAAGCCTGGCAAAGAAAGCCAGCGAGATAGAGATAGATATAGAGGGAGATAATTAAAGAAGGGAACATTAGTGACGGTAATATAAAATGTGTGTTTGTACTCGTAAAGAGAAATGTTTTTATCGAGAAAGAATAAACTGGTTTAATCATGAAAGGACTTGTATCGCTGAAGTTCCTCGGAAAGAATTTCTACCGGAAATTATCAAACAAACAGATACGAAACAAATTGGTGTCAGAGCGTGGGACCGAAAAGAAAAAAAGAAGAAAAGAAAGATGGAAACGAGAAGTGGCAAATCAAACTACAGCTTATCATATTTGATGACAGCAATACAAGAACGAGAAAAGAAACAAGAAGAGAGATTACAGCAGTTGTTGGAGGAAAAATAAGTTTACTCAGAATTAATTTCTACCGGAAATTATCAAACAAGCAGATACGTAACAATATGTTAATAGAAAAAGTGTAATCTAAAGTCAGTAGAGATCACTGTAATACTGGATGTTCATTTCAATATGTGAACGATTTAGTAAAGATACTCTATTGCGATGAAGCTAATCAAGAAACTTCCTTCTGATGTTAACATTCATTACTAAATTATTCATACCGTGTGAGTGGTTGCCTTCCAGACTACAACTACTGTTGTTGTTCGAGGCTTGTGAAAATCAGAACTTGTGATAACCTACCACGACGTGTCTTTATTGCCTTAATTTGCGATGTTAATTTTCAATTCAAAAAGTTTAATTATAGTTACACTGAACAGTGTTTTACAAATACTTTAATTAGTGTGTCTATAAAATATGTAACTTTAGAAAGGTCTTAATGTGTAGTAGAAATAATAATTGCATATATTAGTAAAAAAAAATTATTTGAAGAGGATAATATACACATACACGCATGTGTAGATATATGTGTGTGTGTTTTGTTAAATGTAAATGGTGAAGGCTGTTTTTAAAACATATTCCTGGTATGAATTTATGCTTTTAACTTCCTTTGCAGATTGAAAACGTGCTTTTATTATATGTATTTTGTAAAACGAATAAAGTTAATATACAGCACTAATTTTTGAAAGTAATGTGTAAAGAATTACTAACTGGTTGAATGTCAGTATTCTACTGCTATAGTACAGACTACTCTGTTTATCAGATTTAATGTTATTTATGGTGAATTTAAAACCTATATTTACACAGATCAACATCAGCCATAAGAATCAAATGCCAATGCTTATGGCACCGCCACCTGCGAACAAAGCTAGATTTCCCTTCCGGCTTTTTTTCCGACGATCATAGTTAGGTGAGATGTGCCATCTAAGTATGTGGTAAGTTGTTAACTTTCGTAGGGGTGGAAACTATATTTGTTGAATGGACTATCTATTGAAATGAAATATTATACATCAGCAGTTATACTTCAGTACATTATATATATATATATGATTTGTCATCATTTCAGAATAATAATGTTGTAATGTAGTAAGAACATAACGTAACGAGATTATCTGTAATACTCTCTTAGTTGATCATTTTTGTTCGATAAACTCCTGTAAGAAAAGAAAAGAAAAAAATAGCCAACATTCCAATCAAAAATTGGTATTTTTAGGATTGTTTTATTTAGGGGGCAAAGAGTTATTTTGGCAAAAACAATTAAAATTTTCATGTCAGTGGGATTCACTATGTGGATTATTTTAAAGTCTTAAAATACTAAATCGTGATATCTCAGAGGTCTTCAGTGAGAGGTTTACCGCCCTCCAAATCACCTTAGTGGGCGCCTCCATGCAGCTAAATAACCTACACCAAGACCAGATCTAGGCTGTTAGCTTAAACAATAATAATTTGTATATCTTATATATATTGCGAACCGTGGTGTCTGTCCGAGTGTTCGTTTGTCTCCCGTTTACGGCGGCCGCTTCTCGCGCTGCGCTTAAAAAGCTGCGCACGCAGACAAAGCTCAACATTCACTTTTGAAATGATGGGAGAACGGGCATGAATAATTTTGATGCCAAATTTTATTTCGCAAGTAGAATATTCTACACTAAATTAATAACACTGTCATTCACATTTAAAAATATGACGTAACTTAAAGATTAAAAATGTAGATTTACCATACGTTATTGTTGAGCAGCTCTTAGCACGACTGAAATGCTCAACAATTACTCTTCGTGGTGGGCGGTATAAGTAGCCCAGAACTTTGGCTCCGAGTGAAACCAAGTGTGCAACAAATTAACTTTTTTAAAATACATGAAATAATTTAGATTGATAAATAAACTTAAAGTTTCCCCTCACTGGGGACGGGTACTTTTGCTTGTGGTCGCATTGTATCACACTGTAGCTCTATTTGTCGTGTTTTATAACATCTGAAGTTTAAGTTCTCGGTTGAATGTTAAAAGAAACATTTAGAGCACAATGTAACTGTTAAAAGTGGACCATTTTATGAAAAACAAAACAGAAACACTTTCCTATTTTCGCATTATTTTACTGAAACGGTATGAGTTATAGTTGTTCGTTTTCTAGAAGTAGTCGTAGATATTTCAATATGAAGTAAAAAGCTATCAACTTATATACATTTGTTAAAGTAATGGTATACATACAACTGTTGAAAAGGTGGATTTGAAATGATTTGTTCTACAAATATCAAAAACAAATTATCATTTAATATTTTTTTCTTTGCGAATTCCAAAGAAACAATAAATCGACTTTAAACAAAACAAGTGAATTTTTTAAATCGCTAATCCTATATATCCATACAAATTATAAGGAGTTTAAACTAAAAAGATTATTAATTTAAAATGTTAATTATAAAAGGAACAACAGAAATTTCTTACCAAAGCTTACATTTTAAGAGTTCAGTAAATAAATAAATGATTCAACCAATTTTAGATTTATTCACAACCGTTTTTAGAAGCTTGCATTTTTTTTTTCAAAGAAGCATTACCAAATTAGATCGTCAAAAGAAACTAGTGTTATCACAATTGTGACACAGGGATTTTCTATTTTAAATTTCTCCTGTTATTTGTGACCAATGCGTTCGCATCTTGATTTACAGTGTGATGAATTAAAGAAGTAACATCAACGAAAGTTTACTTGAGAAAACAAAAAATACTTTTTTAGTTAAAAAGCTTAAAACTTTTTTTGCAGGTATATAGGTGTACCCGTAGTGAAGCATTATTACACTATTAAATTCGTCTATATTTAAACCATTATCCATTTGAGAAAGTTCGTGTCCAGAAACCAGGTCATCGCTTCCCAATGCCAGAAAAAAACAACTTAACTTATTTGGAGGATTAACTCCACTCTTCAGTATATTCTCTAATGTAATTCTAGTCGGTTAACTGTATTTTTGCATAATAATATTGATAATTCTAGCGATGGTCTCAATATTTAATACTTAATATTATTCCGGTGAAAGAGTAGTAACCTCTCTGACTTAGACATCGAGGTTTAAATTTCCAAAGATTTTTGTACAGTCCATAGGACGTTTACGAAACTTGATCGTAGACCGTCCGTCAACAAAGTGTGTTTGTAAATGTTATTTGCATATGTATATTTTTGTGTATTTCATAATATTTTTTAAGTAATATTTAACGATCATTTCTACTAGACCTCTGAAGTATTATTGTATTTATTGTGTACTTGGCGTTCAGTTCTAGTTTTACTATAGAAGTTTATGTCAATACTAAGAATAAATACAACTTTCATATAAAGATAAAATTGACTAAAGGCAACTTTAGACCCTGAGCGTCTTCCTCTGATGAAGAAAGATCCACTTTGAATCAGTTTGCTCATGTTAAAGAAAGGCTCACCTTTCGAGAGGTGGATCTTTCTTCACTAGGGGAAGACTGTGAATCAGTTTTTTCATGTTAAAGAAAGGTTCACCTTTCGAAAAGTGGATCTTTCTTCATTAGGGGAAGACTGTGAATCAGTTTTCTCATGTTAAAGAAAGGTTCACCTTTCGAAAAGTGGATCTTTCTTCATTAGGGGAAGACTGTGAATCAGTTTGCTCATGTTAAAGAAAGGTTCACCCTTCGTAACACCATATTAACATATAATGAGTAGCAGATGACTCTTCTATACTTCTTTGATAAATGGAATATACGACAGATTCGTAGAATGTGTTGTGTCTGTCTGCTTTATTGACTTTTCGGTATTTCCTAATTCTGAAAAAATGTTTTTGTGGTTTTTTTCACTACCACATGAATCGAAAGATGTGTTTAATTCATTATGGGTTAAAGAAAGTGCCCTGTAACATTGAAGAATAATTATTTCATAAACGAAAAGGGTATTTCAAATTTAAACAAATTGTTTAACAAACAAAAAATAACTGTTCAACTGAAACTTGTGAAAGGTTTCAAATATCAAACCTAAATTAAATGTGGGGTAAGCTTATGAAATTGAGATTTTTTAAAACGGTGCTGATATTAGACGTAAATGTTTTACCACTCAAATCTTGTTGTTCCTTCTACATTTTATCAAATCTACAAACTGATTTCTATTTTAGAACTACGTAACGTCCATAAGGTTTGTGGTCTTCCTTCTTCATTTTATTGTAGAATGTAAAAAAAGTCCGTCAAATTTTCTAGCATCAAGGTTAACTTTACAGCTGTATATACAAATGTGTAGATAAAGGCTTTTTTTCGATGTGTTATATTCGTTCGTTTCTTAATATAATTTGTCGAAATACGTCTTTTTTTATTAACTTAATCTACTAGAAAGCTACTCATTTTCAAGTGTGTGTGGATCAATTTAGGCAGCGAGGTACTAATAAGAGATTTCGTGGGTTCATTTTCACCGAATCCTGATATCGAAATTAAATTACGAGTAATTTTCTGAAATGCTACTTCAATGTGATTATTCCAAATTATAAATATGTGTGTGTGTGTGTGTGTGTGTATATCATGATTAAATACATATTTAATTTTCCTCACAATAGAGTTATTTTATACTGAATCATAACATACGTTAACATAAGTCGTGTGCAGTAATAATTTCTTTTAATATTCTTTCTGAAGATATATGTTTTCAGTTTACTGGCAAAGGATTTTATGCTAAAACATATCAGTAAAATTGCGTTTAAAATTTTCTTCTACAATTTCTTTGCTATTTATGTCCCAATTACTAGACTATGTTGTGTAAAATGTTCACTTATTTGCTAAGAGGGATAATAAAAAATATATAACAAAAATCATTGTGGAGGACTCTTAACCAATATTTTTCTTCATCTTCGTATGACTATTTTTGTTTTCTGTCACATTTTCAAACATATTTTGGGTTGCGGTCCATATTTTAAATGTAAATAGTAAAATTTTACTTTTAGAAACTGAAACAAATTCGAATATTTGAAATTCGAAGTTATTTATCGGGCGTTAAAATGTTTAACATCCACACTTTTATGCAACTTAATTAATAATTATTTTTTATTTACCATTTTATTAATATATTTATACCTATATAGGCCTGGCATGCCTTGGTGGCGATGGCACTCTACTCGCAATCTATAGATCACGGGTTCGAATCCCGTCACCAAACATGCTCTCCCTTTCATCCGTGGGGACGTTATAATGTGATGGTCAGTCCCACTATTCGTTGGTAAAGAGTATCCAAAGAGTTGGCGGTGGTTGGTGTTGACAAGCTGTCTTCCCTCTAGTGTACCATTCCAAAATTAGTATCTTTACACGAAGCTCAACAAATAAATTACACCCATGTACTATACATCATTATGTACAGTAGTTACAAAGTTATTGTTTATATGCTATTATTTCAAATTTAAAATAAGCGTTTTAAACGAAATGTTCAACATTTGTGAAAAGTTTCAAATATCAAACTTCAAATAATTGTGGGTTAAGTTTATCAAACTCGGACATTTTGTAGAACTAACATTATTGTTATTATTATGCCCAGTACTTAATTAATTTCATTAGTTTTTTAACATCGAATTTATAATATTTTATTTTTTTATGTTGTGATTTTTAAAATGCAGAAAAATAACTGTCATAAACAGTTTTTCAATTATTATTGGTTTATTTTATCCTGTTGTTTTCTTAAAATTAACCAAACACGAACACGTCCTTTCAGCCGTGGGGGGCATTATAATACGCCGGTCAATCCCACTATTGGTTGGTAAAAGAGTAGCCCAAGAGTTGGCGGTAGGGGTGTTGGCTAGTTGCCTTCTGTATCTATTAAATTCGAGCCAGGTAATGCAAACAGTGCCCGCAGCGGCCCAGCGGTATATCTGTAGACTTACAACGCTAGAATCCGGGTTTCTATACCTGTGGTGGGTACAGCGCAGATAGTCCTTTGTGTAGCTTCGTGCTTAACTACAAACAAGTGCAAATAGTCCTCGAATAGCTTTGCGCGAACTTCCAAACAAACCAAACCTTAGAACTATATTACTTTCAAAAACGCCCCCGTGGCACAGCGGTATGTCTGCGGACTTACAACGCTAGAATCTGGTTTCGATACTCGTGGTGGGCAGAGCACAGGCAGCCTTTGTGTAGCTCTTTGCTTAATTACAAACAAACAAAAAATTTGGTTTATAGATACCATCAACAGTCATTTCGAGCTATTTGCAGAAAATGTTTTAGTTTTCCAGAAACTAAAACTTGGCAATCTTACATATTTCTTCAACACGACTACTTATTCTATATAATTTCTGTTTGTAGACAATGTTGTTGTTGGTGGATTTTGTTAGTTTAAAGCTACACAATGGACTATTTGCACTCTCTCCACCCGCAAGAAATCGAACCCTGGATTTTAGAGTTTTTGTTAGCAAACTCACCGCTGGTCCACTAGGGAAACTTTTGGCTTTAATGATAAAATAATATATTATTTTACTACTCTTGTATCATGCAATACTATTGTGACGAAGCTAGAACTTACCTCAATGGTGAGGAATCTCAGATACAAGTTATTTTGTAAACATTTTAGTTCCACTAAGGAAGAACAAAGTGCTCATATCAGTAAAAGTTTTACAACTTATCAATGAACTTTTCACAGAAAATGCTTGACTCAGAACTTTCTAGACCATGCAGTATTCAGTTGGGAACATCGAAAGGGCGTCTAATAGCGATTCTCGTAAGTCTCTCAAGAACCTCTGGTGGGTCAGATGTAATTATACGGTCTTATAACGCTAAAATCCAGGTTTTGATCCCTTGCAGTGGACAGAATATAAATAGTCTATTGTGTAGCCTTGCGCTGAAATCATAAGCGAACAAGCGCCTCTCGAGGAATTCCGAAGTATAATTTATAGTATTTTTTGTGTGTGGCAAAAATAATAACAACTTCAAAATAAATTTTTCAAGTGAATCATCACAGAAATCTTTTGCTATGAATTACTCAACTTATTATATCTTCGTAATAAATTCGTGTATTGAAACCATTAATGAAACAACGTTTTCGTGAAAATCAGTTAAATTACGCATAAATAAAATGGTGGTAAGACGACTTAATACAGTGAAACTGAAACGTTCAATGTTAATTTAACTTATCAGTTTCAAGTAATAGAAAATGTAAATGGCGCTAGTGTAGTTTACAATGACATTTTACTTAATATCCAGTTTAGTTAATAGAATATTATTATGTATCGTAAAGGTCTCCAAGTGTAAACTATAGAAAGTGAACAAATACAGAAAAATCTTCAGTCTAAAAAAATCACATTTCTTTTTCTTTGCAATATTTCTTTTCTGATATAATAACCTGTGATTTTAAAATGTCAAACACTATTCAAATACTCAATTATGGTAAGAAAATGGAAAACATGTACATCATCATGTGCTGTTCAAATCAAATCAACAAATGCCAGAAGCTTCTGAACACATGTACAGTAACTAAACCTTCAACTCTGTGATAAGTTTGAGTAAACCTAAAAAAAAACAAAAAACACGTCCTCGTGATCAATAGAATTATTAAAATATACGTTACGTACCAAGGGAATGAATGTATCGTTCACATTATAACATTATTAAGATAAACGTTGCGTATCTAGGGTACAAACGTACCGTTTACAATATAACATTATTAAGATAAACGTTGCGTATCTAGGGTACAAACGTACCGTTTACAATATAACATTATTAAGATAAACGTTGAGTGTCCAGAGTACAATCGTACCGTTTACAATATAACATTATTAAGATAAACGTTGAGTGTCTAGAGTACAATCGTACCGTTTACGATATAACATTATTAAGATAAACGTTGAGTGTCTAGAGTACAATCGTACCGTTTACGATATAACATTATTAAGATAAACGTTGAGTGTCTTAGAGTACAATCGTACCGTTTACGATATAACAA